AATCCCTGAGAGTCCTCCATCCCTAGAACACTCAGCAACATGCAGACCTCGATGGCCTCCTTTCTCATTGCTTACTGCCTTAGAAATACGAAAGACGACAAATAGGGAACAACGTGCCACTGATACCTGAGTTGGGGGCAGAAGTAGTACAGCTAATATTTTCTGCTGTGCATGCCTGGAAGCAGAACAACTTCCAGTGCAAGTAATGTTATACATCCATCCAAAAGGATGTGGCATTAGTAGTAATATATCACCTGGCCATAGCTACAGCCACCAACCAAATACCCATACAGCACAACAGCAAACAGGATTTATTAAATTGGATTGCTGTAAAATAGGTAGAATCTTAAGCTAGGGCAACAAATTTATTTTTCTGGGTTTTCTAGTAGACTGGTTAGACAGCAAAGTCTTGCTGTGCATAGCTGATCAGCCTTTGTCTTTTGCCCTCTCTTCAGTAGGACCATTAAAACTGCAACCCCCAAGTTCTAGCTCCAGGTCCTAGTGAAAAAACTTCACAGGAGACAAAAGTGAAAGCTACTTTCCAATTTTTTGCAAACCAGCACATTCCCTCAGAGCTGCCTTTCATGCTATAGTGAAATTCCCATTGCCGTGGGGAGTTTTTAAAAAGTTTGTAGAAGATGAGGGTGCTTGTCCAGCAAATAAGGCGCAAAGGTTACATATAAAATGCAAATCAGTGCCTAGATGCTGTCTGAAACAATACTCTGGGATAAAATAACTGGCCTTACATTCACGTTTGCAAAAGAAAGTTGTTGGCAAAGAAAGCTGAAGAAGTCCTAAGGCTTAAAATTTTAATGGTGTTCAACATATAGCTATGGTCAAATCAATGCAAGCTTTGGAAGTGCTGGATGAATTTAAATCCTATTCTGGTGATTATGTTAGGAATACGCAACAACACAGAAAATTTTAAAACATCACCTCCTACTCATTTACATAGCAAAATGAGAAACCGCTTGAATCCTTGCCATATTTTTGAAACAAGACATTTTTATAAATTCAAATAATTCAGGAAAAGATTCCAAAAGCCTTTAGGTGCCTATGGCATAGCTCAAGCGGAATTTAGATGCCTGAATTCAAGTGAGTGAGTCACAAATATTCTGCCTGTGGCATGCATACCTGAAAGGCACCTAAGCTGTCATCAGTGAAGTTATTTAGGCACCTAAAGTACTTCTAATGCATATTCCCAGAGGCCTTCTTATCTTGGATGAGGTGTGTGTCTCAGCAGATATTTTGTTTCACGGTATGTTTAGGCATTCTCGAACTAGTTGTTCAGATGCCTAAAATCCTTTGTAGATCAGGGATGGTTACACAATGCATAGCCTGTACCAAAACCACCAAGCTTGGCACAAAGCAGAGACTTCATACGCCTACTCTTACTCCACAGTCATTCAAATGAACACCCCTATGAGGTGGTGCCCATCATTTGCACTACATAAAAGGTAAGGAACAGTACCACTACTGCTAGGCATCTTCTTTTAACAGGGTAAACAAGTTTTTCATACCCAGCCAGCAACTGAAGTGGCTAAGAGGGACTTCAGAGCTGTAAATCCCTCTCTCTCGTAGGTGTCTGAATCCCAGGGACACAGAGAGGGAACTTCAGACACATCCCTTGTTTTGGCATTTTCTCTGCGTGCCTCTGCTTGGCACCCTGGCTGCTGTAAATCCAGCAGCCTGGTGCCTGTCTCTTT